GAGATTATTTTAAAGCGGTTTAGTAACATACTTCTGGTATGGCTGCCTTATGTTGGCACTTTGATGTAAGCTCATATTTTTTAGAGTCAAGTTAACGATATGATATAAAACTTTCCGTGTATCTGGGATCTTTGTGTATCAGGGAGGGAGGAAGCTCATATCTTCAAATAAAGCAAGTCATCATAATAACGATCGAACCTCACTTGGTAGTTCGTTTAATCATAATATAATATAATTCCTTGCTTCATTTTTCAGATATGATTATAACCATGTAGATGTTAAGAGTCAGAAAGTTTTAGGAGTGGAAAATAAACAATAAGTTAGCGAACCTTATAGTTTTATTTTGCAATGAATCAGCCTTATAGTTATAACCATTTATCAAATTAAGTGTACTTAACATAAACTTCTAAGCATTGATTAAGACAAACTTAATACTAAGAAACATTACTGTTTATTATTGTAAGAATCATATTATGAAAATATCACAATCACAACTGGTCTTCTGTTGGTAAGCAAACAGACCTAGCATATTCGTTTTCATTTACAATAGACCTGTTATAAAAACGGGCGAATGAATTAGATGAACTAGTCCACCCAGCGGTAATGCGAATATTTTCTATATTAACCCCGGCTAAACTCGCGGCCGAGGTGGATGCGTGTCTTGTGCTGTGTGCACCAAATATACTGATGTCAACGCGACTTTCTGACAGATTATTTGTACTCTCAGGTCTTATGTTTTTAGTTATAGAAATATAATCTGAGAGAACTGTCGCTGGGCAAATAGAAATTTTTTCCCTGAAGTATGGTAGAAACAACAAAGGCAGGACACTACCGGGTGCAGATGTCTTGATAATGTCTATTATGGCAATTTTATGCCAGTGTCTGAAAATCGTATGTTGTAAAGTTTAATTAAGGAAAGCGTCTGTACTCTGTGAACTGTACAAATTGGTAAAAGAGTGACGAGTTTTTTTAGTGATTTTCTCCAGTGTCAGCTCACTGCTTGGGAACCATGTAGAGATAAAGTTTAAGACTAATTAAGGATTCCAGGTGGTGGAATATTTAGGTCTTAAAGGCCTTAATTTATATGCGCCTTTAAGGAGACGCTTTATAGATTCGTCTGAACCAATATTGTTGCCTATGAATGCTGATAAAGCAGAACGATGGGAATTCAGGCTGCCATACGCACACCCATTATTAAATTGTGATGCTAAGAATGATAGTAAAGATGATTTCGGTGGGTCAAATACATTAATTTTGTTTACCGTACAATTTTGCCACTAAAGCTTAAGTGAGGTATTATATTGCAGTATGGTAGAAAAAGACGACAGCATCAGTGCAGCAGAGTGTACGCAGGCGCCCCGTCGGCTGAACACCTGCCGGAGAGCCTCGCAACACCCAAGGTAAGGTTCTTGTGCAGGGGATGATATTCCCTGAAATGAGATTGCAAGAGATTTTTATTGGGGTTTAAATAAATGGCATCAGAAACTATAAGGTTTTGCAATAATAGAAACCATGGTTGTGATGACCAGTTAGGATAAACTAATATGCCATGCGCATTATCATCGATTATTTTTCTAAGGCATTTTAGTATCAGGGAAAAAGGTGGTAAAGTAAATAGGTACGACATGAGAGATCCACACTACGAAGTTCCAGATAGAAAGTGACAAACAATTAAACTTTTAATACACAGAAAAGCGACCTACAAAATAACATACATTTGGATTGTAAATTTCGCCCCTTTTTTGAAATAGGCTGAAAATTTCACCAAATCTGTTAGAGCCGTTCCCGATAAAACAAATTACATATTTAAAGCAGTTTCAAGTATAGAATACAAGAACAAAGAATTTTTCTAACAAATTTAATATATGATCAAACGAACTTCCAAGTGAATTTCGATCATTATTATGATGACTTGCTTCATTTGAAGATATGATTATAACCATGTAGTTTCCCTACTTACTTACTTGCTAACTTCGCACATATTTTAGAGATTATTTTAAAGCGGTTTAGTAACATACTTCTGGTATGGCTGCCTTATGTTGGCACTTTGATGTAAGCTCATATTTTTTAGAGTCAAGTTAACGATATGATATAAAACTTTCCGTGTATCTGGGATCTTTGTGTATCAGGGAGGGAGGAAGCTCATATCTTCAAATAAAGCAAGTCATCATAATAACGATCGAACCTCACTTGGTAGTTCGTTTAATCATAATATAATATAATTCCTTGCTTCATTTTTCAGATATGATTATAACCATGTAGATGTTAAGAGTCAGAAAGTTTTAGGAGTGGAAAATAAACAATAAGTTAGCGAACCTTATAGTTTTATTTTGCAATGAATCAGCCTTATAGTTATAACCATTTATCAAATTAAGTGTACTTAACATAAACTTCTAAGCATTGATTAAGACAAACTTAATACTAAGAAACATTACTGTTTATTATTGTAAGAATCATATTATGAAAATATCACAATCACAACTGGTCTTCTGTTGGTAAGCAAACAGACCTAGCATATTCGTTTTCATTTACAATAGACCTGTTATAAAAACGGGCGAATGAATTAGATGAACTAGTCCACCCAGCGGTAATGCGAATATTTTCTATATTAACCCCGGCTAAACTCGCGGCCGAGGTGGATGCGTGTCTTGTGCTGTGTGCACCAAATATACTGATGTCAACGCGACTTTCTGACAGATTATTTGTACTCTCAGGTCTTATGTTTTTAGTTATAGAAATATAATCTGAGAGAACTGTCGCTGGGCAAATAGAAATTTTTTCCCTGAAGTATGGTAGAAACAACAAAGGCAGGACACTACCGGGTGCAGATGTCTTGATAATGTCTATTATGGCAATTTTATGCCAGTGTCTGAAAATCGTATGTTGTAAAGTTTAATTAAGGAAAGCGTCTGTACTCTGTGAACTGTACAAATTGGTAAAAGAGTGACGAGTTTTTTTAGTGATTTTCTCCAGTGTCAGCTCACTGCTTGGGAACCATGTAGAGATAAAGTTTAAGACTAATTAAGGATTCCAGGTGGTGGAATATTTAGGTCTTAAAGGCCTTAATTTATATGCGCCTTTAAGGAGACGCTTTATAGATTCGTCTGAACCAATATTGTTGCCTATGAATGCTGATAAAGCAGAACGATGGGAATTCAGGCTGCCATACGCACACCCATTATTAAATTGTGATGCTAAGAATGATAGTAAAGATGATTTCGGTGGGTCAAATACATTAATTTTGTTTACCGTACAATTTTGCCACTAAAGCTTAAGTGAGGTATTATATTGCAGTATGGTAGAAAAAGACGACAGCATCAGTGCAGCAGAGTGTACGCAGGCGCCCCGTCGGCTGAACACCTGCCGGAGAGCCTCGCAACACCCAAGGTAAGGTTCTTGTGCAGGGGATGATATTCCCTGAAATGAGATTGCAAGAGATTTTTATTGGGGTTTAAATAAATGGCATCAGAAACTATAAGGTTTTGCAATAATAGAAACCATGGTTGTGATGACCAGTTAGGATAAACTAATATGCCATGCGCATTATCATCGATTATTTTTCTAAGGCATTTTAGTATCAGGGAAAAAGGTGGAAATGCGTAGAAGTAGTAGTTATTCCAGTCTGCTGTAAATGCGTCAACGGATACTGCGTCAGGGTCTTGTTTCCATGAAATGAATTTGGCACACTTAGTATTATCTCGAGACGCAAATAGATCTTTCTCAGGTTGACCGAAATAGTTTATTATGCTTTGGAAAGCTTCATTAGAAAGGGACCACTCAGTATCCGCATTAACTATTCTAGACGCAGCATCAGCACGGTTTTCTTTGTTATTGACATATGATGCATATACCCAAAGGTTGCGCTGCTCACACCATTTCCAAAGGAACCTCGCCAAGTCGTTTAAATGGGTGTATTGAATACCCCCCATACGATTTATATAACTAATCGCAGTGGTATTGTCCATGCGTAGTAATATTGCACAGTTGCTTACCTCGCTAGTAAATGACTTCAAGCCCAAAAAGGCTGCCATCAGTTCTAAGTAATTGATATAGAATTATTTTTCTGCTGATTTCCATTTACCATGTACTTGAGCGTTCTTACAAACTGAACCCCAGCCTGATCGCGACGCGTCGGTGTAAATTTCGATGGCAAATTTTGGCTGTCGCATAAAGTTGAGTGTTGTATCGATATTTGACAACCACCAAAACAAATCTTCTAATATAGTATCAGGTAGGTTAATTTTGACTTCGTAATTATTATTATGCTTAAGTAACGCAAGGAACTTCTGACGCTCTAAGATCTTAGTGTACACCCAAGCGTACTTAGCGGCTGGGTATTCGGCGACTAGTATACCAATAAGTCGAGCTAACTCGCGAATAGAGCATGACTGTAATTTTGTAAATTTTGTAACCAACTGGGCAATGTAACGTCGCTTACTGTCTGGTACTTCTATGCTAAGGTTATTGGTATCGTAACAGAATTCTAAATATTTGCAGGATTGTCGCGGTTTTAACATATTTTTGTCATAATTAACAACGAAACCTAGGAACTCAAGTAGTTTCAAAGTTTCATTGATATTATCAAGACACTTGTCATAACTATCTCCAATACATAAGATATCGCCTAAATAAGACAATGATTGAAAACAGCGGTGCCTGAGATAGGCCTTAGTAACCCTTGGGGCTACGGATAATCCGAACGGAATGTAATTAAAGTTAAATGTGTGAGTTTTATACGAATTATTCGGCTGAAATTGAAATTTTAGATATTTGCGGTCAGAAGGCTTAATAGCTAAACGGAAATATGTATCTTTTAGGTCGATGGTAGCGAGGTATCCATCGCGTGATATCAATTTGCATGCAGTTCGATAATCCTCCATTTTAAAATGTTCGTTTTTTACTAATCTATTTAGTGACTTCAAATAATATAAAGCGGTAATCGCAGTTAGGCTTCCGCATGAGGAATATTTTATATATAAATTGGTCTTTAGTCGTATTACATTCTGAGATACACCTAATGACTTTAGTTTATTAATAATGGCTTTTATCATATCTGATTTTTCAGTATATGATAGATTATTTTTAGGGGTTATTGATTGACTCACATGCGTGTGAAAAGGTATTGGATAGCCGTTTTTCAACCAATCAAGAATTACATTATTGTTTGTTATTTTAAACCATCGCTCATAAAAGTGGGTAAGTCTACCCGCATGTAACTGCGTCAACGGTGAGACTGCGCGAGCGCCCGAGGTTTGTCGTGCACCGCGGCACGCTGTAGCGGCTGCGCTGTTGAAGTGTACGGGTGGTGACTCCCGGCCGTCGTCGGCCTCCTGTATGCACCCCGCCCCCCCTGTTCGCCGGATACCGAGGGGGCTGGCTCCAGTTTCCCTGGTAGGACGGACGAGCGCTGGGCTGTTGAGGTGGCTTTGCAGTTTTTGCAGGCATTTTAATGGAAAGGCCTTGCTTCTCAATGGCTTTGGTCGCTTGAATTTCCTCAGACAAGGACGAACCAAATAGTGATTCGTCCCGTTCAGACTCTTTAACAATATTTAAGAAGGCCTTGTCCAAACAAGAAGTGATTAATTTTACTCGGGCCTGCGTTGTCAAGTAGTGTGAATCACAAAGTAGGCGGCAACCATTGCTCAAGTGTTTCATGGCTAGAACCTTGTTATCACTCTTCAGCAGCAGATCCATGCCTCTGTTGATGGCAGTGATGCCCGTACCAAGCTGCCGTTGAGATGCTGTAAGTGTCTTGTCCTGGTTGCGAACCATGTCTGGTACTGCCGCCAAGATTTCTGCATTCAATTTCGGCGCTTACAAAAGTCTACAATTGTCTGGTATAGGGTAATCCTTCATTAGGATCTCTTTACTAGGTATAGGCATTCCTTTCTTAAGCAAAGGAAGCCACAATTGTGATAAATTACCGTGAATATCATCGCCATAATCAGGTGAGTCCGACGTGGATTCACCGAGGGCTGACAGTAGATCAGGATCTAGCTCGGGTTCTGCGGAACTATTGGTTTCCTCTTGAGGGCATGGTTCCGTATGGCCGTCACGTTGATTATCATCGGGTACCGGATCGACATTGTGCGAAATATCAGGTAGCACGGATATTAGTTCCACAAGGGGTTCGTTGTCGTTGCCCAAGGTCACGTCAAGATCTTCGGTATCTAAAACTACAATTTGAAATTTAAATTGTGAAGATAACCGATTGATGGTAGCGTGAAAATAAAATTAAAAATATTTGCACAAATGTTACATCGGTTTTAGTTTGTACGTATTTTTGTGTATGTTTGTCATCGTTGAAGACTCGCAGTCAACCCCGATGCAATTAAAGTAAATTAGTTAGATGTAACAACACCTATTTTATAACTTAGTTTCGAAAAATGTCAAAGTTTTTGACTCGCAGTCAATCTCAGGCACTTACGAAGCTGATAACACTTTCCACTTTTTGATCACTAATTAAGGGTTGTATTTTCGCTTACCTTCGTCTTCTGACGATGATAGTTGTAAGGGCCTTATAATTCTTCGTCATTGCATTTCTTTTTCCTTTATTTCACGTATTTTTCGAGCATAGTGTTCGTAGTTTAGATGTAGTTCGTGTTCATAGTTTTGACTGTGCGCTTCTTTTTGGCATGTTGCTAGCAAAGCGCGTGCGTTAGTTACCGCGCACGAAAAAGGAATGAGCTTACGTCAAAGTGCCAACATAAGGCAGCCATACCGGAAGTACGTTACTAAACCGCTTTAAAATAATCTCTAAAATATGTGCGAAGTTACCAAGTAAGTAAGTAGGCAAACATAGTTATAATCATATCTGAAATATGTAGCAAGGAATTATAATTACCTATTTTGTCTTAATTGAGACTTTTGTTACAAAGATAATCAGAAAAAAAAGAATAAATAGATAAATAAGTAGTAAGTATAAATATTAGAAGTCAAACAAAATATTATAATTTAAAGGTAAGGTTATGATTTATTAATATTTATTTTATTGATCTCTCCCATTTTGGGACGGTTACAATATTTTGGAGGCTTGTCCGAGATAGTGAAAATTATGGAGATAAAACACGAGTGTAAACTCGTGTTTTATACGAAGGAAGATTAAATTGAGAAGAAGGAAATTAAATTCAGGGAATGTTTTCATTTACATTGACAGTTGTGAAAAATAATAAATTAATGATTTGATGACAAAAAAGGCAAAATAATATATAAAAGATGCTAGTGAAAAAGACTAATGAGTAACGCGTAAGAAAATTAATCAACCTAGTTCGTCCCGTGGGTGTCAAAAAAAATTAACTATGGGAAATGCTACAAAGTTTTTACAAAGCACTTTTCGTAAATCAAATGCTACGCCAATGCTACAACAAGTCTCTACTGCGTCGAGACCTACTGAAAAGAAGTGGCAAGAAACTCACAATTAGACTATTTTTCTCCCAATTGTTACAAAACTGCCCTCATGAAATATATAGGTACATAGGTAACGTCCACGCATTCTTATCTTTTACAGTCATCTAATTTGTAACAACCTATCTTCATAAAATTGCTTATTACATGCGCTTTAAATTTATTCAAAGACAAATCAGTAATTTTCCAGGGAGTCTTGTTATGAATAGTTAAACATTTACAAAAAGTGAGCCACTAGCAAAGATCTCATAAGAAAGTTAGATAGCGGCACAACCGTCCCGGTTACGTCAGGCGTAAAATAACAAGACCGGTGACGAGGAGCAGCGTCAAAGGTGCGAGACGTATAATCCTGCGACCGCCAATCCACCTGCAAAGCATGGTGTTTATATCAATTTCGTTTACAAATAGAAGAAACCCACTTTCAAATATAGACTTTTACTGTGATGATGATAATGGAGATGGAAGTTTAAAACTACAGTAGTGTGCCGGACGGGCGTAACTCTCCGGAGTAAATGTTGTCGAAGATACACCGCGAGTCGCTCACGTCCTACACCTATAGGTTCCGGAGGATACTTCCATTGCTGTCTCTGTGTGTGCTGCTGGAAAACTGTGGACTGAGCAAGGGAGTGGCCAGCGGTTCGACTGATTGATTAGTCGCGACATTTTATAATTATTATTTATTGACCACGGTTGTTGAATACGGTTGTTGAATTACGGTTTTTCACTATTCGTTGGTCACTATATATTTCAAAAGGTTTAATTAAAATGTGCGGTAGTATTAAAATATCTATTGGTAGTAGCTGGTTTTCTAACACTACTGACTAGCAGCTATTAATCAACTAAAACTAGTTGATTTTATCACTTGTGTAACTGCGAATATCAGTTACCACTTTTTTCGTTTAGCTAACACTTTTCACTATATGTAACTGCGAATTTTCAGTTACCACTTTTTTCGGCTAGCTAACACTTTTTCACTATATGCAACTGCGAATTTTCAGTTGCCACTTTTTTCGGCTAGCTAACACTTTTTCACTATATGTAACTGCGAATTTTTAGTTACCACTTTTTTCGGCTAGCTAACACTTTTTCACTATATGCAACTGCGAATTTTCAGTTGCCACTTTTTTCGGATATGTGTAACTGCGAATTTCAGTTACGACCTTTTTCGGCTAGCTAACACTTTCACTAATTCACTATCACTGTTCACTATGTTCTGCTACTAGTCACTTCAGCTACTACCGGATACTACTGCTTGTCACTGGTAGTTCTTCACACTACAACGTTGCTGGGTTTCGCGCCCATAAGGTAGACTTCGGCTATACTGAATAGTGAGCCGCTTGCCATTTCCCGTTTTGCCTCTTTATTTTATAACATTTTCACTATGCAATTCGCATAAATTACAATATTTTCTATACAAGACTAATTTCTACACTAACTTGCTATACATCATTAAATCGGCATTTTGGTCCTTTATCAGTATATTATAAAGTTTATTCAATATATTAATATTTAAAAAAGTTATTAGGTAAACGAAATGTCCCAAATTTTCATAATAAATGGGTACATTAATTCTTTAATTTTTCTATAACTACCAAATGTGTTTAATTATACAGATTATTTCTTCACTATCGTAATCTATATACCATATGCTAACTAAATGTCATATTTACTACTCTTTTAGAACACAAAATTATTCTCATTAATTTTTGTATAAACTATTGCGCAGTTAATTAAATTTCCAGAAAGTTCTACGATACGCCGCGCTGTGATTGGTCGATATTTTCTTAAACAATTAAAGTTGTTTATATTAACTATTATCAAAACGACATTCTATATTAAGATTCTATATAAAGAGTTGTAAACACACTCTAAAACTATATTAATACACTATTTGCTCGATTTCGTTGGTAATTTCACTTTTTATACAAAACAATATTCTTTCATCACTTTGTTTCTTAAAGTTGTTAGGCCGTCGCGAACAAGTAGCTTAATCTTCATTTAAAATCACAACACGAATACATGACAAAATTTTAGGAATAAAACTAACACTTGAATTCGAAAAAAAGGTATGTATATAATATAAAGGCAAGATATACAACGTGTCACAAAAACCCTGTGGTTCCCTTTAAGTGCGTTATCAGAGTCAGTATTCAAGCGTAAAGAAGTCATTTTTTTTTTTCAAAAACCTTGAACATTGCTTCGGATAATGCAGAGGTAATAAAACCACACACAATTCGCGAATATTTTTTTTAATTAAAATAATTGCTTTAATTTTCAAGTTTTTTCAAAAAAAGTTATGTTTGAATACTGACTCTGATAACGCACTTAACGGGAACTACAGGGTTTTTGTTCCATGTTGTATATAAAGGTAATATATATATATATATATATATATATATACATGTTATATATATATATATATATATATATATACATGTTACCGGTATATTAACGGTATACTTTTAGTATAGGAAAATCCAATAAAACATTACGCGCTGCTAACATATTATTTGAAAGGATATGTATTGTCGTCAAGCAAGCGCCAGCTGGACAACATTAGTCAAGTGATGTGAGAAAATTTAATAAAAGCATTCTGTGTCTCCCAATTACAGCCCAAATAGGCACATTGTTATTTCAAAGCTTTTGA